CTGAAGAACATGCATGCGTAATGATAGGCTATGCTCATCAACTCCGAAAGTCTGGCAAAAGCCACTGATTTAAAATACTTCAGTTGCTCTGCACTGCCTTGCCTTTTTCAACTACATTCCAACAAACCGGAATTCAAGCTGGCAATTAAACCAGTGTATTCTGGTATCAAAGGACTAACAGAAGAAAGCACTACTGAAAAGCATTATGTTTTGACACTAACGTCATAAGATCACAGCTATATTTTCAGATTTCAAAGGTGTTAACTTCTTAGCATGCAAATTTAGCATGAATGTAACAATACACAGGAACAGCAGAAAATAACCTCCAAGGTATTTCTTTCTGAACTGCTAATAAAGACAATTGTTCTGCAACATTATTTCAGTTCCATTGCTCTTCGGAGGACATAACCTTGTAATTTCTGGTTATCACATTTACAGTGTTGTAACAGCCAGCCTTAGATCTGACAGGACCTCAATACGTGCTGGAGAAGCAGGAGTAGCTTCTCCACAACGGTGTCTGTCGCTACTACAGCACCTGCTCCCCCATGCCAGACACGATCTCAGCAACAGTGGCTGCCTAAGCATTGACTGGTGCTTTCTCCCTCCTCTGTGCTGAATGGTTGCACAGCAAACAAGCTGAAAACCAAGACAACCAAGAAGCATGGCTCTCAGCTGGATCTCTTCCTCAATCCAATTCTCGCGATTTCTGCAGCAAAATGCAGAGATCTAAAAAGGAACTAAGCATGCATATGTAACATATTAGGCAACGCTGCAGGGAGCTTATTTGAGGTTGAACAGAAACTGGAAATCCTGTGTGGTAAAAATCTCTCTCTTCAGGCTATGAGGGTAACTCTCACTCTTGTTTGGTACTAAATTTTGCTCTGGAGCACTTAACCTGGCTTAGTGCTTTCCGAGTTGAGAACAAAAAGTACCAACACATGAACGGCTTTTCAGAAGGCTCTGTTTTCTGTGTCACTGAGATGGTATAAAATATTAGCATAACATTCCTTGACTTCCAAATGAGGAAGTATTCTCTCACTGAAACACAACATAACCAAGAACCACAACAGCCCTGCACAGATGGCCAGCTTAAGCTGCTAAAGGACTGGTATTAAGCCTAGATTCTTAAAAAAGATCTTGGAGAATTTAGTGAAAGTCAAGCCAATTGAGTCTTCTATCTCATATGAAGAACAAACATGAAACAGAACTATTAGAGGCAGTGGTTTAAACATAAATAAAATCACTAATGCCTAAGCTCCAGGAAAGGCTTGCATATCTCAGATGCGTTTGCACACTTAACAACAGGATCCACCTCCTTATGTAGAATGCACTGTGGAGTTTTTCCTGAAAGAGCACTAGAACAGTATTGCAGACTGTACCTCTAACCTGGCATAAATCTGCAGAGTTCGCCTAATGTGCATGTCATGTCTAGACAGCCATAAGAAGTAGCTCGAAACAGCTAAACACTGGTCTCTTGCAGTGTCACCACTGACAACAAGAGCATGGGCTCTTCATCTTGAAGCTTTCTCCTCTGAGAGGACAGAAGCAGGATACAGTCCATCTTATGTATTATTCGTCCTTCTGATTTAGCAGGTTGAGTACTCTCACAGGTCATCTCTCAACAGCTAGGTAGAGAGTTTTATCCAAGACTACCTTGAATACGGCTGATTTCATCACCTCAACAGGAAAGCATAGGAAAGAGGAAGATAGATTTGTACCACGATTATTCCATAGAATGTTAAATCTAAACCCTGAGCTTATATTTGAGATACTCAGCGATGCGGAATCAATGTATCTGCAAGAGTGAGTTCAACAGTCTTACAACTGAGACCCAGTAATGAATAAAAATCACACAGCCGACATAAAAAAAACCCCAAAGTTTTCCCAAGCACCAGCTCAGAAACTCAAACATTAAATAGCACCAGTCATTATACCAAATGCAGACCACGTAATTCAATTTTACAAAACTGACAGCACGCAGAACACACAGGCTTATGTTTAGCTACCTGTTTGTTCACATGAGGAAAAGTACATGAAAATAAACGGCTAATGCCATATACCCATTTCTGGCAGTTCAGACGTAGCTCATAAACTCAGCTCCCAAGAGTACATAGCCTAAAGTTCTTACTAACAGCCCGTACAATGTCACGACTCTCAGATACCAGCAGTTCCTGTCAGCTCAGGGCTGAGGATAAGACCCTAGAACGGCTCTACCACCTGCCCCCTCCAGTGCACATGCAGGGCCAGGTCACCCCGCCCAGGAGCCGGGCCAGGAAGGCACTAGGGACATTCCCCTAGCTTACCATGGCTAGAGACTGTTCAGAGGTCAGGCAGCTTCAGGGGACGCGCAGGGAGCTGCCACAGCAAGGCTGGGAAGACCCTGAGGCAGGGGTGGCCCTGGCCCCACACCGGTGTTGCCCCTGCCGGGAGGTGACCGTCGGGGCCCGACCTGGTGGCACCCTGCCGAACGACACCCCGCCACCACCGGCACTGCTCACCATTATGGTCGTAGACACTGACATAGGAGATGCCCACCGCCATGCACCACACCACCAGGCTGGCCATGTCCGCGTAACTCGGCTCCTCCTCGGTCACCACCAGCCCCATGTGCACCGGTAGCTTCTGCAGGGCACGCCCGTCCGAGCGCCACCGCTGCCGACCCTGAGCCGCGCCCCGAGGCCGCCGCCGCGCCGCGCCGGCTTTGCGGAAGGCGAAGGCCCCGGCGGGGGCGAGGAGCGCGCAGGAGGCGGCGGCGGAGGCCGCGCGGCGCCACAGCCACGCGCGGGGTCCGGCGGCGGCGCGGCCGCGCAGGCAGGCGAGCAGCGCGCGCTGCAGGCAGAGCAGGGCGCGCAGCACGGCGTGCAGCGCGCGCCACGCCAGCCCGCCCGCCCCGCTCATGGGGGGGAGCGCGGCGGCACCGCCGCCAACCGACAGGAGCGCGCGGGGCAGCGGCACGGAAGGGTCACGGAGGGAACCGGGGTGCCTCAGCCGCTACGCGCCATCCGCCGCGCCGCCGCCATAGCACTCAATGGGCTAGCGTCCCCCGCCCGGTAACCACCGCCGGCGCAGCCATCTTCCTGCCCCTCACCCCGATCTTTTACCTCTCACCCCGCCACATACAAGGAGCCCATTGGCTGCCGGGCAGCCTGCCGTCACTTCCGTCCGCGGAGAGCGAATGACGTGGCTCTGAGGGAAGGAACGGGGCGGGGGACAGGTTGGGAACGGCCCAGGTGGGCGGTGTCTCGCCGGGCCGCGCCCTCTGGTGGCCGTGGCTGAGGGCGGGAAAGGCGGGCCAGTGGCGGGAGCGGCGTGGAGCGGCGAGCGTGGAGCGGCGAGCGTGGAGCGGCGAGCGTGGAGCGGCGAGCGTGGAGCGGCGAGCGTGGAGCGGCGAGCGTGGAGCGGCGAGCGTGGAGCGGCGAGCGTGGAGCGGCGAGCGTGGAGCGGCTCTTGCTCTGCTCTGTCGTTTGGTCCTATGGGCGTCTGTAGCACCTCGTCTGCGCTGGCGTCCGGGATGGGGGCCGATCTGATCGCCACAGAGGCAGCTGTGCCTCGTGGGTGTCTGTGTTAGACAGCATGTTTCACCCTCGGGGCACCCTGCAAGCATTCGGTGGGTGGTTCTGCAGTGCGTGCACGGTACACGGGCGGTAGCGTGACCCTAAGAAACACACTGAGTGTGCCCCTGTGGTGGCCGAGGCAGTGACGCCTTGGGGGTGCATGCCCTACTTTGCCAGCTCCCACAAAACCTGCACTTCCCAGGTTTTGGCTCCTTGGCTCCTTTGGCTCCTTTCTGCTAGTAGTGGCCCACAGATTCGGAGATATAAATCCCACTGCAGGCAAAAGATAAGAGTGAGATCTAGCGAGCCATCCCTCTGCTGCCAGACAGATGGGTGGGCTGATCTGGCACAGGGATGTATTTAAGTGCTCTGTTAAAACAATCCACCAATGTAAAGTTGAATAAAAAATTCTGTATCACAAATATACTTTTTTTAGCTCAGAAAATAACTACTTCCCAGGCTTGTAATACAGACCAACACTAGCCAGCAAAAGCAACACAATCAAACCACGAGGAAGGCTTGTGCTGTTTTGTAAATACCTAAATCTTCAGCTTCCAAACATTTGGGTGCCTGATGATATGTAAAAAAGTTAAAATGTGAAGGAAAATGAAATCAGATGTTTTTATTCCAGTTGTTAGTGCATCGGGTGCCTAAGAAACCCAGGTGCATTTGCATAGACAGTATAACCAAATAGCTGCACTAACACCTGACAAAACAGCCTCCATGAATGCGAGCATTTCTTAGTTACTGAGTGCCAGGAGAAGATAAAGAATAATAGAGACTGTTTGCTTTGAAAAGTGATTTGCTGGTGTTATTACTCCTTGGTTATCAGCTGAGATTATGGACTGCCAGGAAACCCCTTAGGTTGCTGTTTGTAAATCACTGGGTTTAGTGGTCTCAGTCATTCAGTTCTGTTTAGTTTTCAAGCACTTTGGGAACTGTTCAATAAAATTTGTACATGCATCAGAGCTGATTAAGTCCTTTATTTTGCTTGCAAATATCTGGAAGGTCACTGCCAGTGAAGGAGGGCGCTTGCAGTGTGTACTCCCACGTGAAGTACACCTAACCCGAAAGTGTACACACAAAGCATCATAAGCTGTATTGTAGTCAGGTAGCTATTCAGCTACCAAAATAAACTCTTCCAAACACTTTGTTTCACTTGATCTTATCCTAATATTAGCCAGAGGTAAAGAATCTGAGAACTCAGATCCTGTGAATCTCCCTTCAACTCCCTGCAACAGTAGAATCGTGTCAAGTTTGCCCCAGTGTTTTCATTCCTTGCTATTAATTAAATTTGGAACTAGCATTAAGTCTCATTAACTGGGACACTGATTCTTCTGTCTGTTGCATTTGCTGTGATGAAGATTAGCCTTCCTTGTTTTGCCTGGTCCTCTGCTAAATTAGTCTGTCATTTGAAGTAGTCTAAAATAAATAGGCAAACTTCAGGAAAACAGAAATTAATTTCTTAAAAGTGAGAATCTTTGAACAGTCCTGAGAAGTTGGTCACATAGATGTAACTCTCCATCTTAACTTCAGACCTGTGAGTTTAAATGTGTTGAATGCCAGACTCCTAGTAATAGTATCTTGTGGTTTTGCAGGATTTTATTTGTGAAGTTTTATGCAACTATAAGAATTTACTACTATAAAAAGGTCCATACAGCATTACAGACTGCTTTTCTAAGAGTTAGTAATTGTATTCTTACTTGCCTCAAATTACATAGTACTAATGGGATAGGAAAACAATTTGCATTTTTTACAACTTTCAGTTTACAATGGCATCCTTATTAAGCCCTTCTGTCACTAGCGATTACCTCTTATAGCACAAACTAAAGAGGAAAACTTAGTGACAGGTCAGCAGATGGTTGTCAGTAGAGATGCTGCTGGTAGTCAGCAGCTCCAGACAAGTGTGGGGTTGTCTAATTCATATCCATGGGGTTAGTCTAATTCATAATCATAGTAATCATCATCTGTGTTCACTCCAGTGCTGGAGGCCTCACTGGGTTTCATTTTCTTTCTGTCCTCTTTGCCTCTTTCCATGGAAGACAGATTATCTTCACACTGTTGCAGAATCTTTTTGGAAGACATCCAACTTTCTCCTCGGCTTTCTGCTGGTGCCACGCACTGCCCCCCTCTGACGTCTGTCCCTTTGGCCACCAGCGTTCTTCTGGTTCTGAGAAGGTCACATGTGCAGTTCCAAGGGTTTCCATCTAAATACAGATGACGAAGACGGGGTAAATACTCTAAGACTTTGCGATCCAAGGCAGATATCTTGTTATTCCGTAAATTTAAAACCTGAAGCTGTTTCAAGTCCTTCAGCTCTTGTTCTCCAACATCCTCTATGTCATTTCCCTTTAGATCCAATCTAGCAAGGGTGTCTGGAAGTCTGAATAAAAACAAAGCAACACAAAGGTGTTATGTTCATCATGCTGATTCCGTTTGTGTAAGTGGTGTTTGGCAGTGAGTATTTGCCCAGGCACATCTGACATATTAAGATAATACTCTCATTAACAAAAAAAAAAAATGCAGTCTTCTGCAAAATAAGATGTTGTCCTGAAGTATTCATGTCCTTTTCTTTAAGTTATAGGGATACTGTCTATGCACACTTGAACTGTTTCCCCAGATTACTGAAGTTCTTACCTGTGTTTGTTTAAACTGAAATGAACAGCAGTCCTGCTGCACTGTGTTATGAAGAATGTGTTCAACTGAGTGTCAAGCTTAAAAATGCATTTTGTACTTTTGATGCTGTAAGTATGCCAATGACCAAATCATAGCACCATGAAAGATCAAAAGTTTAGAGAAACATGGCAACACTACTCCATCAAGTACTTTGTTTAAAAAGATATTTTAGTTCATGAGCTAGAATTTTTCCTCCATTTTGTTCTCCTGATCCCATCAGATTCAAACATTAATCATCACAGAGGCATCCTGTCTGATGATATTCTGTTTAAGAAATCAGCAACAGGGAAAACAGAAGTGGCTTTTGATGGTCTTTTTAAATTGTACTTTAGAAAATTAGAACTGGTTACATTTAAAAGAAAAAAAAAAGCTGATAACCTCTGGATATGATATTGGACTGGTCAGTACCATTCTTATTTTCATACATCTTGCATCATACATCTTGTATGTTAAGACTGTTTTATTTCAAAAATTTTGCTCACTTAGAATCTTCTCATTTCTTCCTGCTTTATGTAGTTAGTGACAAGCACTTAACAGAAAGCCGCTTAATTGGCGTGAGCTATCTTTAATAAACTTAATTTGAAAGTAGCTTAAAAATCATTTTACTATAGTAGTATGCAAAGTGAAGAAATTAAGAGTCAGAGATTTTAAGGAAGCTTATTCAGTGAAACTCTCAGGGAAATTATAGATGGTACTACCAAGAGCTATTTAGAATAGAACAGTGTACTACAACAACCAGTAAAGGTTGATGTGATAGCTTAAATCAGTGTAATGATAGAAGATACCTTTAAGAATTACTAAGAAGTTACATCATGACCTTCACTGGCTGGTTTTTGTGAAGCTGAGTTTGACCTCTTAGGCTGAAAGGTGGTTGCTGTATTTGTGTAAATCTCACAACTCCAGTGGGACTATTTCAAGAGTAGGGCAGTTCTGTATTGTGCTGTATTTCCTGGGGGACATGAGAATTTCATGTGTTGGTACTCCGCAAAAGTCAGTCTTACCAAATGCTTGTGGCTGCATTAAATGTTTTGAAACCTAGCCACAGGAGATGATTATAGTTGCCCAATGTGATACTGTAATGTCAGAAGGGTATGTTGGGGTAAAACTATTGCCACTGATGTCAAAAACCTAGAATGTTTATCTAGACTGATTACAGTCTAAAGCCTGACCACCAAGTCCTTAAACCTGCAAATGGTCTTATATACTAAAGTTAGACTTTGACTTTATGGCTATATTCTTTGACTTCAGGCTGTGCTGGTCTTGAGAAAATAATGGCATTGGAGTATATGATGCATGATCCTGCTGATGGCAGAGAGGCTGCACTCACCTCGGAGCTGACTGTGGCAACCATATTGTGCTGCTGCCACCCCAGGGAGTATCATCAGACTCCTGCCTGATTCTCGCCAGTCCCTGCAAGACTTTATGGAGTATAGGCCCTTCTCTACAAGTCCTGAAAATACTTGGACTTGTGGATTATTGTATTCTCAGAAAAAAATACCAAAACCCAAAACAAAAAACCAAAAGAAGCTTTCTTTTTCCTCATTCCTGCTGAATAACTGCTAGGATCCACTAACTGTAGCACATTAACTATTTCTTAACCTTTGACACTGCTGACTGAGTTCTCAGGTGACTGTTAGAAGCAATACTTTTATTTCTGTATATCCATGCATACCTGGTGATCATCAGATATATTAAGTCCATAAATTTTATGTCTTTGTCATTTTTATTCCCCTTTTTGATGCTTACAGCCTTCCCTTCAAATCTGCATTCATTGTTGAGTTGAAAATAAAAAGTCCCCAGTATTTCCTTAAGACCTGTACTGTTTATGGGCTAATAGATAACTCCTTCCTGTTAATTCTCTTGACTGTGAAGGTTGTAAAATAAGATGGATTAGACAATACTAAAGTAACAAGAAAGCATTAAACATTCCTGTCAAGCTAGACTGATATCAAATATTTATACACCACTAAATCACTTTCTGATTATAAAGCTGCTGCCAAGTAGATTCAAATGCTAAAGGACCTGATGCTAAATGAATTGAAATTTTACTGCATTATTTATTTGGGCTAGTTAAACCTGTCCACAAGCCATAAAAAATAAAATGTAATAGTGCAGTTGTGTTAAAGGAGTTGATGTTAATGGAATTACTTTGCTATTTTTATGCTGTTTTATTGCACAGGTTTTTGAAGTAATAAAATTGCTACTTTATATCAGAACAGCCTCCATCTGGCTTAGTATGTCATCTCTGGTAATGGCCAGGACCAACACTTATATGGACACAAGAGACCCTGTAAGCAGAGCATTAATGAACACAGTATGCCCAAGGGATGTTTCTTCTCTGCTCCTTTGACTAGAATTTTACTTATAGCCTGAGGCTGGAGAGCTTATATGCATTCCAAATACTTTGTAATGTGTGAATTTAATGAAGTTGCAAATGCTAATATCCACTGAAAAAGCACATTCTTTTTGACCAGACTTTGCTCCTGAAATCTTAATATTTTAACAATAATAAACTCAGTGTGGGTTGCTAGAAACATCAGCTTTAAAACTGCTGCCTTTCCTTTTTATTGAATGCTCTATTAATTTCATGTTATGGGGGAAGATAAATCTAAGCAGCAGTAAAACTCCTCTGTAATAATTCTGTTACATTCTCCTAGCAGGTTCCTCTTATTTGTGTGCTAATTAAAGAAAGTAGTCTTACTGGCAGGGAGGGATATGAAATGAGTAGATTCACTGGGGACTACGGAAGTAATGAAAACAGTTCTACTTCTGTGCTGAAACTGCTAACAAGAGTGCTAATTAGTGCCAGTTATTGGAATGGGTTTATGGTGTGGGTAGACTTCTACCATGACTGGGTCTGAATACAATATTTTTTCCTATTTGGCTGTCATTCTCATAATGTAAGGAAGGAGAGATGACACCTGTGAACCAGCTCTCCTCAGATTCACTTGCCTCAGAGGAATAGAAATGAGGAGATTCTGTTCCAGTGCCAGATTTGAAAGCTGCGGACACTGCTGAAGAGCTCCTGCCTCAAACATGCTAACAGCGTTGTTGTCAAGGAATAAGTGCTTGAGGTCTTGTAGTCCTTGGAAGTCCTGTGCTGTCACCCTTTGAATCAGGTTACTGCTGCAGTCGAGTTTCTGCAATCTGCCAGGCAGCCTGATTGGCATAGTGTGGAGCTGGTTCTTAGAGAGCTCCAGTGTTGTTAAGTTAGGAAGAAGCTGGACACCATCTATTGATGTTAGCCGATTTTCTGATAGGAAGAACTCATAGAGGTTTTCTAGGTGCTTCATGTCTCGAAGTCTTATTGTTTTAAGTTGGTTTTTCTCTAATTTTAGTGACAGCAGGGATTTAGGTAGGTCAAGAGGCACTTTTGTCAGAAAGTTGCCACTTAAACTGAGAAACTGTAGATTCTGGAAAGATGCAAAGAAGTTGGTTGGGAACGAGTTCAGTTTATTATCAGCCATGCTCAGATACCTCAGCCTAGGAAGCTTAAGTGGTGCAGACACAGATTCCATGTTGTTGCCATCCAGAATCAGACTCTGTAAATTCAAAAGGGAAGAAAATGCGCTTGAAGGCAGAGTCGAAATCAAGTTGTTTCGAATATCGAGCACTCTTAGTTTCAGCAAACCTTCAAAATCAGATACATGCAGAGTGTTGATGAAGTTGTCAGCGAGTTTCAAAATTTCAAGGCCAGATGGGAGGAAGGTGGGTATTTGTTTTAGCTGATTTTTGTAGAGTTCCAGGGACTTCAAGGTGCTCAGAGCTTTGAAAGTGTTGTTTTCTATTGATTCTATGCCACTGCATGATAGGACCAGCTGTTCAAGGGCTGACATTCTCCTGAAGTCAGTAATCTTAAAGAGAAATAAAAAAGTCATGTAATATACACCATCTCTTTATGGATCTCCTCGCTGGGTACTTCTTCTGAACGCTCTGACAATTGCTAGTGTATATTAAGAAACTATATTTATATTTAGAACAAGAAACTAAGCGAAATGTTAATGACAGAGGTGTTGCTGTTGGTACCTGCAGTTTGCCAGTACTGCATTTTTAGAATTTTGTTAAGTTCATATTGTGTCTGGTTTTGAACAAACACAATGTTTGAATAAGGAATATTCCTTTTACTTCTGCCTGGTGGATAGCCTCTATAAAATGGGGATCTACTATCACAATCTTTGCAGAAAGCAGATGGTTGCTAATTTTCACTATGCTCAACAGAGCTTGCTGGAGTAGTTTTGAGTTCGTCATACAGCCATTTCCATATACCAGCAGTACTGTCACTGCAGCGTGTATTCCCCAGAGGAAGTGTACATGGATATCATCACCTCTACCTACTATAAAGTTTTTGCAGGAAACTAAAATCTGACATTTGCATTTCTTCTCTCCCTGCACCATCTTTCCTTTAAAGAAAAAATCTCACATATTATTAAGATGACCAAACCAAAAGTGTCAGGTCAGCTTGGTCTGAAAATCACTTCAGTGGAACAAATTGCTTTTACACAATCTTAGGTTTTTGTTAGTTGGCATTAAACAGATGCTTTGCAGTGGGAAATAGAACTTAGATGTTGACTGTGACTATAATATACAGAGGCATACTAATTACTTCATTATATTTCTGCTGTGTTAGAATGTGCTTGTTACCAAAGCTTGCAATCTTGTGTCTCAAGTTAAAAAGCAAACTTAAGTGAATCTAGCAGTTTCTTCCAAGTCAAAATACGAGGAAGCATGCAATGAGGGTGAATCTGGGAGTTCTCTAAGCACACCAGTTCCTTAAACAGTAGTAGTCTGAAACTATCAGAGATGCTGCCCATTGGCCTAGGTGCTTGATTTGTAAAAAAATATTTATATGGGAACCACAGAAAGCTCAGAGCAAGGTAAGCAAGTGCACTGTATGGGAGAGGTGTGAAGGAGTGTCTTCATCCATTTTCCCTTCCCATGTCCAATAAACATCTCACTACAGGTTCCATGAGTACCACATCAGTAAGATATATTAAACTAACACTACAGTCTTTATGCCATTTCTGCCAGACAGGTAGCTACCACCACATTTTACTCCCATTGAGAGAAACTATAAAGGATGCTGTGCAGCATAATTACCCAGGGAACTACATACCAGTCAGTCTCACCTCTCTGCCTGGCAAAATCTTGGAGCACATTCTCCTTAAGGCACATGAAAAAGTTCTTAAGGCACATGAAAAACAACAAGGTGCTTGGTAACAGCCAGCATGGTTTCACTAAGGGGAAATCCTGCCTGACCCAATTTGGTGGCCTTCTATGATGGGGCTATGGAACTGATGGACAGGGCTAGAGCAGCTGATGTCATCTACCTGGACTTCTGCAAAGCTTTAGACACTGTCCCACACAACATCCTTGTCTCTAAATTGGGGAGACATTAATTTGATAGGTGGAACACTCGGTGGAAAAAGAACTGGTTGGATGGCCACATGCAGAGAGTTGTGGTCAATGGCTCTATGTCCAGCGGGAGACCTGTAACGAGTGGTGTCCCTCAGGGATCGGTGTTGGGACTGGTCTTGTTCAACATCTTTGTCACTGACATGGACAGTGGGGTTGAGTGCGCCCTCAGCAAGTTTGCCAATGACACCAAGCTGTGTGGTTCGGTTGACACGCTGGAGGGAAGTCATGCCATCCAGAGGGACCTCGACACGCTTGTGGGGTGGGCTGATGCCAACCTCATGAAGTTAAACCATGCCAAGTGCAAGGGCCTACACCTGGGTCGGAGCAATCCCAGGCACAGCTACAGGCTGGGCAGAGAAGAGATTCAGAGCAGCCCTGTGGAGAAGGACTTGGGGGTGTTGGTCAGTGAGAAAATGAACATGAGCCGGCTTCAGTGTGCACTCGCAGCCCAGAAAGCCAACTGTATCCTGAGCTGCATCAAAAGGAGCGTGACCAGCAGGTCCAAGGAGGTGATCCTGCCCCTCTGCTCTTGTGAGACCTCACCTGGAGTTTTGTGTGCAGTTCTGGTGTCCTCAACATAAAAGGACATGGAACTGTTGGAACAAGTCCAGAGGAGGGCCACGAGGATGATCAGGGGACTGGAGCACCTCCCATATGAACATAGGCTGAGAAAGTTGGGGCTGTTCAGCCTGGAGAAGAGAAGGCTGCGTGGAGACCTCATAGCAGCTTTCCAGTATCTGAAGGGGGCCTATAAGGATGCTGGGGAAGGACTCTTCATTAGGGACTGCAGTGATAGGACAAGGGGTAACGGGTTAAAACTTAAAACAGGGGAAGTTTAGATTGTATGTAAGGAAGAAGTTCTTTTCTGTAAGGGTGGTGAGGCACTGGAACGGGTTGCCCAGGGAAGTTGTGAATGCTCCATCCCTGGCGGTGTTCGAGGCAAGGTTGGACAGAGCCTTTGGTAACACTGTTTAGTGTGAGGTGCTTCTGCCCATGGCAGGGGTTTGGAACTAGATGATCTTAAGTTCCTTTCCAACTCTTACTATTCTATGATTCTGTAATTCCTCATCCCAGTCAGGAATGTACATGGAAGGCAGTGCAATTCCTTTTGCTGTGCAGGTATGGGGTAGTAATTTTGTTCTACAAGCCTGATTAAATACATTTGGATATTATACTTGTGTATGCGAAATCAGCTTATAAAGGTGACTTTTAAAATATTACTTTCACCTTCATTTATCGGACTCTTGGATATTTTGGGGTTGTGTCTGTTTACCTTACCTACAAACTCTGCATTTTAACTTCTGTTAAAATTAGCGCCCACACAGCTGTCAAAGGAGAGTGATATTTCATTCTGCTTTGATATCCTTAATCATTGCTACTTTCTGTTTATTCTGTCTTGTAAAGCTGTTTCTGAGCATTGCACGATTGATGCAGCTAGTGAGAAAGTATAGCTATGGAACCTCTATTAATGCAGGGGTCTCCATCAGTTACTCTTTAGTTCAATGAGGGAATATACCTCCATAAAAACAAGCAAACAAACAAACAAACCAACCACCCTACATTCTCAACAGTAAGTAATGAAGTTGTCCATTTTCTATTTTGTCTATAAATGCAGTTTTGTAATATATATATATTTCTTTATAGCAATCACAGAATTGCATGTCTAGTTCTGGTCATGATTAAGAGGCGAATGTTTCAAAGCTTTATCATGAGAAGTCCCATAGGAATGAGCTGCATTGCTCATGAGCAGAAAAGCATAGTCATATTTAAGTGAGAAAACAGTCTTAAGGAAATGGAGACAAATGTGAAACTTTGTAAGTTCAACATATTTTCTGTTGCAAGTTCAAAACCTGTATTTCCTGCTTTTCCTTAGTTGATTGCTGTATCTCACTAAAAGGCTTAATTTTCATCTTATGAAGTGACAGCTACACGAGAGTCAATTTACAGACATTCATTCTATAATGATGTTAGGCTTCTTAATGTGGATTATTATAATCTCTCTTTTCCACCTATTTGGTATGCTTTGCTAGGCTTTGTGACTCTGCAATTTTGAGACTTGAATATTTGTCCATACTGTTACAAACCACCCAGTCTTTCTAATATGAATCCAGACATACTTGAAAGCCTACCAGCTATCTTTTTGCTACAAAGTGATATTTTATTCTCTAACTGGACTTTTCGGTAAAGTGATACTAATATAGTGTTATGTTTTGAAAAGTAGATCTAATAAAAATGGATCTAACATACTGTTAAAATAGAAACATTTTACTAATTTTGTCACTTTTTAATGACCTGTTTTTATGAACTGGGATTTCTTATAAGCAATTTCTTAAACTCTAAAATTAAGTAAGTGAAGGAATTTAAAAATCAGACAAACAAAACCTCCTATGGAGTTCTTTTAGCACTTCCAGACATGCATTTTGCAAGCGAAAATCAAATGCTGTTTCTGCAAGTAGTGTGATATCTGCCAGTTGAATTTCTTAGCTGTGTAAAATTAAGCATATGCATTTATGATGTCAAGACCTCAGAAGCATAATTTGTTGCATGGAAAGAAAAGTGAATAATATATTCAGAGACCCAGTCTAATCTTAAGGAAACAATCTGCATGACTATAAGCAGATAGCATGAAAGGACTTACTACTTTCAAGTGCAAAGTCAGTAGTATAAGTAAGGTATACTGATTGCTCAGTTGAATTAATGCATAAAGTAAAAAACCCTTAGATGGTTTCTTGCATCATTTGTTCTGAACAGTCATAAAACATTTATTCCACTGCTCTATTCACTTATATCCAAAATTTAAAAGTTTTATAACTCCTGTGTTTTGCTGTAGTCAGAACCTAAGGCCACTTTACTAGTAACTGAGGAGAAGCTGACAGGTACGGGCAACTAGTCTAAGAAAGGACAAATGGCTCATCTGCCTTCTCTTGGAAAGAAAATAATAATGATTTTTTTTTCTTTTTTTTGCATATAAAATGTATTTCCTAATAAAAAATTCATTTGACAGATCTTTTGTTTAACTAAAGCACATCAATATAGCTAAATCACACCAGTGAACTTCAACTCTTGTAGGTTTGGGAGCTAAACCAAAAAAAACAGATATTAGTAGCAGCTAAATAAAAGTAAACCCTTTTCAGAGTTAAATTGTAAAATAACTATTTTTCAGTGAGCAAAAGGTATCCCAGATGATGCCCAAAGCTGCCTTCTAACCTATTTAATTCAATCCTGAGAGCAAAATCAAAGTTGCATTTCAGAGCAGTTAATGTTATATTCTGTGTAGGAGGACAAGCATACTTGAGAGAAAATGTCTCTCTTGAATCAAACATTTCTTATTATTTGTAGTAAATTGATACACAGCAAGCACATGTAAAATTGTGTTTCTCTTTTATCTATCAGTAGAAGTTGAATTTATTAAATGAAAATATTTCAGGGTAGAAAACCGTTCCAGAGCATAATGCAAAATTAGTATAAACTGATCATGCCTTTAATAATGGGATCCAGTTATGCTTCAAGAAACCCAGAATAAACATTTTTAACAACACAAATAGCTGGCAGCTTCAGTTATAACCTGCTACTGTTTATACGAGTTATTAGATAAGCCTAGCATTACTTTTAGAAACATCTCGCATTCTGCCTTAAACTCTAACTTACTTAATTCCTCTGCCATTTCTGATAGCAGCTGTACCTGACACTTGCAACTGCAGAGGGGGAAAAGAACTTCGATTTCATTTATTAAGGAAATTATTCTAGTACATAAAATCTTTCCATTTACTCTGAAAAAGTATTATATTGTATCAAAGGTTGCAAAAGCTTTTAACAAGTTAAACAATTACTCTGGAACTCAGTGGTTATTTGAGCATATAAAAACAAGTCAACATTTGTCTCCTAGTTGTAAATTACTATTTTTTGAGATTAATACAAAATATCATTGTGGCAGTGTGAACTGGTGCTCGGAGACTGCAGGCTAATGAAAACCACATAGGAATATATTTACATATCTTTAAAAAAGTAAGTAAAAATAAAACCAGATCTGGCAGGATTTCATCAGTTTTTAGAACGTGGAATAAGATTCTTTCTTCACTTGAAAGCCACCACCATCTGGGAAGCACAGCTTTCGGTTACAGTGTACTACAAAAAGTATTTTTACTGGATTTTTTCTTACCTGGAGTTGTCTAATTTTGCTGTGACTGATGTAGAGTCTCCTGGTGGCAACAGGAATCTCTCTGGGGATCTCCATAGTTCTGTAGCATTGCACTGACAGGGCAGGGTCACAACTGCATCTTCTTGGGCAATTGGCACTTAGACCACTGTGGAAAGAAAAGACAATGACTAAAAGGTAAGATAAATACATCTTCCAAAACAGAAGCTCTGCAATGATCTCAGCAACGTGCAGCTTGAATTAAGCACCAAAGTCCTTTTATACCATGAAATCTGATAAAAGGATATTATGACTGTGTATTTTATCCCAGTGAAAAGCCAGCAAAAACAATACGGTAATTTGCCTGAGTTAAAATGTTGGCAGGCATTACAAAGAGTGAGAAACTTAAACAGTGATAAGGTGCCTTTACATTTGTAGGTATGCGAAATTAGTGTTATTTATTACCTGACATCAATCTGCAAACATCTATATTATCTCCAGTTTCCTAGTTTTGTTAAATGTGACACCACAGAATTAGTGGAGAAAAGATAAAGAGCTGTTTTATAGTGGGGCTGTAAAAGCTTTGTATATCTTCTATGACCCAGTATTCGAAACAGTAAGAGCACAACTGAAGCCAACACTGAAGCTTTTTCACTCTTCCTTTTGCATTATTCAGACCCCTCAAAAAAAACCCAAACTCAGACAGCTGTTATTTTAAAGTTAAAAAATTCTACTCACTTTCTGAGTATCTATGGTATAGCTGAGTACTGCTGATTAGTACACATTTTTCAAAGACTAGACAAAAATCTAGTTGCCTGTGTTTGTGTAATTCCCATAAACCAAAGTTTACTTATTTTTGTATTTGAAAATTACAGACATGAAATGCTTGAAAACATTTAGTATAAATCAAGTGGTAGATGATCAATAGGGCCTATTTACCCTGTGACAGATGGAAAACACTAGGGTTCCCCTTAGAGTTTTCTCTCTACTTGTTAGTGCTTCTCTCACATATCTACTAGCTGTGCCAGCTAGAGATGTAATGTTTTGAAAGGCTTACAGTTTGGCTTGTGATTATTTTAGGAACTTTCTATGCATAGTTTTTTCCTGTGTACCCAGCAATTTACAACATACAAAGCAGTGTATTTCAGGCATCTTTGTATCTTACCATACTGATCTGCTTTGCACTGTTGCCTGCTTCCTTCCATACTCCCTATTGTCTCTTCAGTAGCAGCTAATTCTGCTCCTTGAGTGCAGAGCTAAGCCAGTGATTTCTCCAAGCAGAAGACAATGTTGAGTTGATTTGACAAATAGATAACTGAACTGGGGACAGTCCTTGACAGGAATGCCTATTGGATGCAGCTGGGTTTACACTGGACAATTGCCGCATTCCCTCATGGAGATCCTTCTGTCTCCTTAATCCCCTACACTATGAGTACAGAACTGCAACCCAGCATCTGCTAAACCATACAGCAAGAGCAGAAACCTTTTCCTAAAGCAGCCTGTCAAACTGGCATGCTTAACAAGTTAGCAGAAAAATCCTGCCAGACCTATGCCATAGTGATGAAATGAGCAAAAATGGGGGGGGTGAGGGTGGGGGGGGGGGGTGGTGAGCAGGATTAGCGATGGTGTGCTCAAAAAAGTATTTTAATGTATCTTGATCTAGGGTTTGGTACCTGGTTTGTGGGATTGCTGGATTGCTTTTTTTTTCCCCCTCCTCTTTTTTTTTTGGAGGGGAGGGTGCTGGAAGGGACATTAAAGATCGTTTCATTTGAACTACCCTTCCATAGGCAGGGACACCTTCCACTAGACCAGGTTGCTCAAACCTTGTCCCACCTGGCCTTGAATACCGCCAGGGAGGGGCACATCCGCAGATTCTCTGGGCAACCTGTGCCAGTGCCTCACCACCCTCACAATGAACAATTTTTTCCTAATATTTAATCTAAATCTCCCCTCTTTCAGTCTAAAGCCATTCCCCCTTGTCCTGTCACTCCATGCCCTTGTAAAAGGTCCCTTTCCAGACCTGTACACCCCTTTTAGGTACTAGAAGGCTGCTATGAAGTCTCCCCTGAGCTTCCTCTTCTCTAGCATGGAACAGGCTTTGATCTGATCTCTCAGGTCCTTCTGAGTTGAAATGCTGAAGTAACTAACACAGTAATGCTCACAATCTCATGTAGGAATTTGTGTTCCTCAAAAATGTCACAAAAAAAAAAAACAACAACAACCCCAAAATCTGCTTTTTTGTATATCAAACCCAACGGTTTGCAGTTTAAAGCTCTAGAGTACTGCAGAGTCAGAGAATCCCTTCAAGTAAGACCCATATACTGCGTCCTTCCCTGTTTAAGTCACTCAGCTGGTTAGAATTCACAGCTGTAGTTACAAGGTAACGCCACAGTACGGTGCTATATTCTTAGCTCTCAGCATTTTCTAGGATTAACTATATCCTTCGCTTTTTCAAACGAAGGAAACTTTTGGTTTAATCGTTCATTTATGTGATATAAAAAACAATGATTTAATCAAGAATTATATTATATATCCATTAATTTCTGATATATCTGGCTTTTGTATTGAGTCTGGAAGACCTGATGGCAACAGAGCTGACAGTCACAAGACTGTATGAGCATAAGCATAGCGGGAAGATGTGAGCTACGCTGAAAAAAGAAAAGGTGAATAAACATTCCAGGGTCTCCTTGTAGATGCAACACTGCTGGCCCATGAGCTGCACAGCTTAGCAGGGGGATGTTAAGAAAGTCAATCACTGGTGGCCATTTCCTGCCAGCAGGTTTTATGCAAACTCTCCACACCTTCAATAGGCATTCCTGTGTGGGCCTAATGGAATGATACTCCCCTCCATCACTTGTCAGAAAGAATGAATGATAGCACCAGTAACCTGCCTGCATGAGACGTCTGAGGCACATTCTAGCTTTAACCAAAGGTAAACAGTTCAAAACCTGTTAAACCCAAAGTCAGTGTTGGACTCTTTTGTATTGTTAGTAGCATTTAATATGGACACTAGTTGTACAGTATCATGGCAAAGTAGTAAAATATATTGAATAGATTTAGATGAAACATAAGCTTGAGTTGATGGAAGTTAGAAGATCTTTCAGGAGTGCTGCTTTCATTTCAGATTGAAGAAGGGCTCATAAAGGACTGTAAATGCTGGGTTCTTTGTTTTGGTTGGTTTGATTTGGGTTTGGTGTTTTTTTTTCAAATATATATCAGTCTAATAAAAATACTATCATTTTGTACAAGCCTTACCTCATGCAAGATTTCAGCATCTACAGTGTTGCTGTTTGGCGTTTTGTTTCTTTACCAAAGCCAGAGGTTTGACAAAAGCAAACATGTGTGTCAAGATATAATTTTTTAACATAAAATTATGTTAGAAAATCACATAAATGTAAGATGTCATTTAAATTGGAAGAATTAATCTGCAAAACTCTAGTTATGAAGTTTTTAGAAATATCTGAATTAAGACAACCCATAGTGGATCCTTTGTAATGCACATGATGGCAAGAGACCACACAAAGGATGATGCAATCTTATCATGAAAGAAAAGGAGAAGCTGAGCTCTTGCAGTCGGCATGTTCCTTGTCTATGGAAAGGAGAAATTGCAGGAAAAGACCAGCTTAGGGCCTGCAGAGGGCATGGGTAGGAGCTTGGTCCCTGAGGAATGTCACAAGCAGAGGCAGTTTGGCAAGTAGGAGCTGCTAAGTGATGGCGTATGCTCTGAAGAGTCCTTGGCATATTTAGCTGCCATATGCTATCAAGTGCCTGCCACCGAGTATGTATGAATTTAATAATACTTTTTCTTCTTTTTTTTCTTCCCTGGAAGTTTTAAACTTGGATTTGGACCAGTTTTTCATAGGGACAAATGGCATTTGTCTGCTGCAAAAGTTACCTCCAATCAAGCACTTCTCTCCAGAGTGGATCAGGCTGCTAAGGGAAACAATCATAACATTGTTTTTAAAAACATGATGCTTCCCTTAATCACCCGTTGAAATAATCTGAACCACTTTACAGAAATGTTTCTTAAACAAAGAGCCTCAGAGGAGTATACTGAGTAAAGAATGTCAACCTAAATGCATTCTAGACAATGACACGTAACTGGTATAAAGATGATAAATTTATCAAAAGTTATTTTGTGTTTTATTCCTACAAAACAAATCTGCGAGTTCCACAAAAACAGTTGAAGGACTCTCTGCAAATGATGTCTCAATCTTCTTCTTAAGCCAAGAATTTTGTGGAAATATTTTTTATCCACTTTCATAGTATGTGCAAAATGTGCTTTCTAACTCCAGGCAAGGTCATTTGCATACATGGGAAACAGCTGCTGGGTAACTTGGGCCAGATTTCTTTTACACACAATAAGGTAGGTTTTCTATTCTTCCTCCATGCTGGCTCATAGATAACCCCTTAGGAATTTCTCACATTTTGCCTGTCTGTAGCACATTTGCATTCCAAAGGAACCAACAGAGTGAAACCTGTTGAAAAGACTGAAACTTTGTTAAACAAAAAATCACATATCAAGGAGTTTTAGTCATTGCCAGTGTTATGATAGTGTTGAGTGATGGTAACCAAGACCAGATGCACCTGGGGCAGGCACTCCACAAACAACAAATAAGTAACACCCACACAGAGGTCCGTTTAAATATTTTCATACACATATGTCATTAATGCTGCTGTAATTGGCTTTCAAAGTACTGGTCCTAATGGCATACACTTGGTGGAGAGCTGTTCATCATTAAGAACTGAGCCACAGAAAGCACTGCCCATGAAACCACAGGTCATGGTATGGTGTAGTGACAGTTTTCTAGTAACGATATTCCATGTTAGTCCCAAAAGTAATGAAGAAGGGAAAATACAGAGAGCAGATAAAATGGCCAAATCCATTTTCAACCTAGACTTTAAATACACAGGTCTATTGTATATGACCATTTATTTAAGATCTGTAATTAACCTATGTGAGATGGTGCCTTGAGCAGTACCACCTAAAAGTAAATTGGCAGGGTTGGATCATCCAACTGATACTGGAACCAAGACAATTTCTGTTTCTGAACCACACAGAAGTAGTTCAGGTTAGTAGTTAACAACCATGACTTGTAAGGACTTTTCAGAGTCCTGTATGAAGCAAGTTAGTTCTAGCCCTTCCATTTCCTGTGGGTGTCTTTAGTCTTTTAAGAGCAGCTTAAACTAAAAATTGTGTACTCTTCAAACTGTGAGGCACAGACTCTGAAACAGCAGTTCTCTAAACTCTAACACTGTGTGCGCAAAAGGAGGTTTACATTCTTTCAAACTATAAAAGCTGGACGTTTTTGTCACATTTTATTAATTAAAAAAAACCAACAAAACATAAATTCAGAATGAAAAGAGTGAAGCATAAGTATATACATAGAAATAAACATAAGACCACAACAAGCACTGTAAAAAAAAGAAAAGCTCATCTCAAGAAGTGACTTGTGGATGTCATCTTGTGTAAAAAGAGACCAGGAAGGAATGAATCTTCCCTCAGAATAGTAGCAAGTGAATCGTTTTACCCATGGACTCACTGCATGGACTGTAAAATGCAGCCAACTATGAACTCTCTAGGCCTGCAAAGCAGGAATCATGTAAAATGTAAAAAGCTACAAGTTAGGGTTTGTTAGCTCAAATTTTCTGTAACGACAACTGAAAATGTATATCCCTTTAAATATCAATGTGGGTGAATAAATTCCTCTGCTCTAAAGTGCTTCAGAAAGGCACATTCTAATAATCTAGTCTGACTCCTTTTTTAAAGTATGAACATCTTGCTTTATCATCTAAGTTTCCTCCCATACTTTTTTTACCGTGAGATATTCTTTGTTTTTTGTCTGTTTCCCCTTTGGTATCCTCATTTGTTACTGTACAACCACCCATGCCATCAAACCACTCAGGATGCTTCAGTGCTAAACACACAGAAGATGGCCTTGACACGGGCATGCACTGCAGCCTCTCACGCACAACTGGGCAGCTGCAATTACAAAAGTTTCTGGGTGAGCTGACCCTCACGTGCAAACACACATGTTTATATTGTAAGTTCTTTGTGCAGACGCTACGTCTAACCAAACATTTGTAGAATATATCACACAACATTTTCCCAGTCTTGGCATGGACCCTAGGTACCAAATATACAGCAGTGGAGATGTTGATTAAAGTATTTTTTTCTTTCTTTATATTTGAATATTACTTTGCTTTGTTTTGTGTGAAAATATGTCCTCCTCATACTTAACGTCATTTACTCTTTAAGCACAAAGTAAGTTTTCAGGTAATTTATCAGGTACACTAGTAATCAATTATAGGTTTAAATTTATGAAGTACTGTTTGTATTCAAATACACTTAACATCAGTGTAACACAGAAACCTCATATCCTCTATAACTTGTCTAAAGTAATTGAAATTATGTGCATAAATTATATGTGAAGAAACTAGGTGGTGATTAGCTTCAGCTCTACCACATAAGGTCAAATGTGCAGATCAGGAAACTTTCAGTGAAGTCCTTTTGACATTAAAAGTATTCAGCGAATTTAAATTCTTCTTGATGTATAACTGGCTACAAGTATTTGATTGTTAGAAATGCCTCTTGGGTGTAGAAAGGATTCTTACTGCTAGACCAGCTTCAAAAGTTCTTCAATTATTCTGTTGATATTATCAGGGTAGAATATACTACAGTTTACTTTAAATCAATTTAATCTAATTGAAGGCCAAAACTACTAACCTTTCTTAGGTTCAATTCCATAATGACTGCATAGCTTGCTAAGAGAACAGAGCTACATTTGTCTGAGGGCTTTAGCATTTCAAGGGTAACTGGAATTGATCATAATCTTCTAAGGGACCTACAAGTATAGTTTTGAGATAATTGAATTATTCATGTCTCTACCCTTATATCTGTGATACCTGATTTTAAATTCAACCCCTTTTTTACACAGTATTTCTGGTGAGGAATATAAGTAATACCTAATGATAACTACATTTACTAAGCTATAGTGTCACAACTGCAAATTTTCTTAACTACAGATAGCTTTACTTCTCATTTATCTGTAGTCCAGTGTTAGACAGATACTGCACTGCAGGTAGCCTTCTAAAAGAATTGTGTTTGAGAAGCTAACCTTTGAGTGGAATAAACAGAGACAAATCCTTGCTTGACTTGTGAAACATAAGGGCATACAAAACAAAGGCAGCACTGATAAGAATTAAAATTAATGACTGTAAACCTCTGATACCACTGTAAATAAAGACAATTTAAGATAGAGCTGGACCAACCCCTAAGCTAAAGGAAAAGGACACTAAAAAATGGGAATATGCAATTCTTTAAAAAGAAGCAGTTATAGGTAAATTACATTAAATGTAAGGTTTTAAGGCCAGTATTTCCAATAGATACATTACATAGTAAATATGGGAAATTTCCTTCTCATCGTAAGCGGATACTGTCCAAATGCATGAGACAGATATATTAGCAGACAAATGCAATGTTTGACTAAGTAGTAGATTACTGTTCCATGTAAAAAAAACCTAAAAGACAAAGAATGTAACATAATTTCATAGGTACTTCTCCAGTGTGATATCTACCAGAATGAAAGCCAAAGCTAACATGAAAACTGATAGTCCTTAAACAATTTATTGTGTGGCTGAACTAATTTAAATGGTAATAATGGTTTAGCTTTTGATACAGCAAATGCTTTGATTTTCTGTCAGACTGTTGTTTAAGGAAAAGACTGTCAATATGGCTATGGAGAATGGACATTAGAATGAAGGTCAAGCAAATGCTCTTTTAAGCTAGGCTCACTGAGAAGTACTTGTTGACTTTAGACACCTAAACTTTAGACACCTTTCTCAACTATTATTCTGAATATACCAATTTACTGAGCCAGATTTTTTTTTCTGTAGGTATATATAAAAGTGTCTGTGGCTTTTTCCATCATGGATGGGCTTTACAGTAAGAGAATCCCCCTTAGGCATACTCAGTTTTTTACTACCTCTTCAATTACACTGCAGAAAGTTTGAACTGTAAAGGGCAGACGAGCAGGTTTACAATAACAATCTCTAGGCTTCTTGTCAAGTCTCTGATACCAGATCCCAGAGGAAATATGGTATCCACTGTTAGTGGTGAAGTTTGCTTTTATCCAGCTCTTCTGAAAGCACAGATTGATGGAGATACTGTTTTTTCCTGCTTTGACATAACTACACATTCCAGGTGAGTGGTTTAATCACTGAGCTGTAAAGTGGTATCACTCTTTCTCTGTGTCCTAATCAATTATTTATGCAAAGTGGAGCAAGGCAAGAAACTCACCCCAGGATGTCCTGCAGCTCAAGGGCAGGGAATGCAGGGGTCCTGGTGTGTTACCCTTTTCTTAATATCCGCTCCTCCACTGACTGGAGGGCCCGTCTGCTTCCCCTCTGTTGTGCTGGCAGTGTAGCTTGTGGGGCCACACTGTACGCAGGATTAGGGGCCTGATCTGGGTTTAAATGATCCTTTTTTTCCTCTTTTGAGGTGGAATTACAACTTTGGTGCAATAAAGCCAAGCTGCATGACAGCTCTGTAACACCTGCTAATAAAGCTCCCACTGAAAACAACACCAGAATCAATCCCAGTATTTCAAAGGAGGTGATATGTAACCAAGGCAAATGCCTTGGAGAAAGCATCCATGAAGAGATTGCTTATTCCCTGAAATTGAGTTCAATTTCAGAACTATGATGACAAAAAAAAAAACCCAAACAACAACAATAAAACGAACAAACAAAAAAACCAACAACAAACCAAACCAAACAAAAAATTCCCCCAAAGCAATCGAAATACCTTTTATATGGGTATAACTGCATTTACCAGTGATCCTAGAGATGTACTGGTGTCTGGGGCAGTCCTTTTTACACAATACTTCATGGAATCATGGAATGGTTTGGGCTGGAAAGGACCTTTAAAGATCATCTAGTTTCAGAACCCTGTCACAGGCAAGACACTTCACTCTAGACCAGGTTGTTCAAACCCTGTCCAACCTGGCCTTGAACACTGCCAGAGATGGGGCAGCCACAGCTTCTCTGGGCAACCTGTGCCAGTGCCTCACCACCTGCTCAGTGAAAAATTTCTTCCTAGTATCTTATCTAAATCTGTGCTGTGAGGAGCATTCTGTGAGGTAAATTGCCTGGCCTGTGCCCCACTACCGTGCAGAATCATTGCCGGGTAGGGACCCCAGAGAAACCAGTAGCCAGCTTTCCATGGGCAGAGGCGTGCCTCATCGCTGAGGCTTACGCTCAGAACTGATAAACGCAACGTAAAAGTAACATTTCTCGTGGTGAAAGTAATTGTTTAGGTGGTGTCAGGCGCCACGGGCGTTTCTTAGCGGCTTTCTGAGGCAGGGCAGGGCGAGAGACGCCAGTTACTCTCACTCAGAGAGTGAAGCGCGGGTTGAACGCCCAGCGTCTGACTGCGGAGCCTGGGCGGTACCGTGCTGACACCGCTCCCCAGTAACCGCGGCTCCCGGCAAGGGGCCGGGCCAGAACACCCTGGGGCGGACCCGGACCGCAGCGCCCCCTGGCGGCGCAGGCCGGCGAGCCGCGATCGGGGGCTCGTGGCTCGGCCATTGCTGCCTGTCGCCGCTTGGAGTTGTGGCAGGCAGCACGAGTCGCGCACCACTGCACGCCGGGCCGCCTTCGAAGCCGCCTGTCAGCTCCGCAGCGCATGCGCGCCGAGCGCGTTCCTCCCGTTTCCCTGCGTGGCTGCCCCGGTGGAGCCGGGTTGGGTTTGTTGCTGCTGCTGCCGCTGCCGCCGCCGCCGCCGCCTTGTTTTGCGGGGCGAACGGGAGCTCCCGCAGGGAGCGGCTGAGGCGACGGGTGTGGGCCTTGCCCTGCCCGGGTGCCCGGACGTGTGAGGGAAGGGAGCAGGGGCGGCGGCGGCAGCGGCAGGAGCACCATGTCGGCGGCGGGCGGCGGTGCCTGCGGGCCGGGCGGCGCGGCCTGTGGCGGGGTCGCCGCTGGGTCGACTTCGGCGGCGGGTGGCGGGGTGTCCATGTTCCGCTGGCTGGAGGTGCTGGAGAAGGAGTTCGATAAGGCCTTCGTGGACGTGGACCTGCTGCTGGGTGAGATCGACCCCGACCAAGCCGACATCACCTACGAGGGGCGGCAGAAGATGACCAGCCTCAGCTCCTGCTTCGCCCAGCTCTGCCACAAGGCGCAGACCGTGTCCCAGATCAACCACAAGCTGGAGGTGAGGGGGGCTGAGAGTGCCCCAGGGCCTCTGGTATGGGGGTGGGGGCAGTGGGCCCGGTCCTGTGGAGGCGGCCTTCCTGTATTTGGGGGTGCGGGGAGCAGCAGGGGAGGCCTAACTTGGCTCAGCGTGTTGGAAGGCCCTGCGGGATTCGGGCATGGCTGTGCTGATGCTTACAGCGTGGGCATGAAGTCCTGAGTGCAAAAAAAGTTGTCTTTGTTGAAAGTAGAAGTCTTGGGCAGCAGGTGCTGCTGACTCGTCTTCTGTTTGCACTGTCACTAGTAAAGTTGGAAAACCTTTTAAAAACGAGATAAAGACATATAGAATTGTTTGGGTTGGAATGGATCTTAAAGAACTTCCATTTCCAAACCCTCTGCCATGGGCAAGTACACCTTCTGCTAGACCGGGTTGATCAAAGCCCCATCCAGCCTGGCCTTGAACACTGCCAGGAATGGGGCAGCCACAGCTTCTCTGAGCATCTGTTCAAGCATCATGAGACGTTCATAGTCTTTAAAGCTTATAGTCAGTAGTCAAAATAAGGCCATTACTCTGCTTATGAGTAAATGAACCAGAAAAATGGATTGGGGATGGACTTTGATGGGTCTTCTTGTCTCTTTGAGGTAGATCAAATAGCTCTCTGCCAAACTTAGCATCAGAAAATTAATATTGAAGGTTGCACATCCTGTGAGGAGGAAAGTAACTGTCCTTCCTGTTGGAATTGTTTTCATTCCTAGTCCAGAATTTGAGTCAGAGTGGGAAGAAAGAAGCATCAGCTGGAACTGAGCTGGCTGATGTTGCTCAGGAGGCAGAACTGTAGGTCCTGTGGCTGGTACAAGAACTGGACTGCTCTGGAAGGAGATTCTGGAGAACTTCATGGTTGTTTTGTAACTGTCCAACCTGAGTCATCTTCAGTTTAGTAGGTGATGTTTGTTGTCTTGTTCTTAACAGGTGTTGGTATAAACTGCCCTCTTGTCTTTCTGTTACAAATTAGAAGAGTGTTCAAGTGACTTTCATCATTTAGTTTTCCCCAGGTTAAACCCCTCCCAGTATATTCAGTATCTCTTGTAGGCAATGCTTGTTTGAGTTTTACTGCTTGTTCTACTAACTTTTAAATGTATGGGAGTAAGGGAAAAGATTCTGAGAAACCATGAAAATATGTGCTTTGCAAGAGCTTCGATACGCAACCACAGAATTGAGTTCTTTTAGTCCTTTGTGTTATGCTTATTATAATAAAGGAATTCAAGAGTCTTCAAACAGTAACCTGTTCTTCTGAAGGTCTGTCTTGCAGTAGGAAGTAGAGGAAATCGGTTTTGCTGTTAATCAGGTTTCTTCCTGGTATGAAGACATTGTTATGCAAAATATAGAGTTTTAACAGGGAAACAGGATATTTTAGAGTAGAACAAAGACCTCATTAAGCTAGGAGCTTTTTTCGTTGCAGTCTTTATTTCACCACAATACTTACTGCAGTGATGCTTTTGGTATTCCTTGTTTATGTTGTCATATACGTTTTAGTATTGGGTATGTATGTAGTCTATCAAGCTACACAGGATTAATTGTATAGGCATAGTAAAATAAGATTTATGAGTTTATAGTAGACAATCAGTATTTATTGCATATTACACAGGGATGGTGGGTGTTGTGTACAGACTTGTGAAACAGATGAGTTGTCATGTTATTTTAAGAGAATGAGTTGATGCTTGGTAAATATTTCTTTGAAAAGTTGTTTCAAGCTTAAATATTTTGAAAGGAAATGATAAAGCTCAGATGCTACAAGGTATTTTGGTATCTAATATAAACCATCAGGGGCACCTAAATAACTGGAGATGTGTGCCTCAATCTCAAGAAGAGCAAAGAAGCACAGTTAGTATTTGTAATAGCATAATTATTGTCTATATCTAAGTGCATGAAGTAATTGTTTGATCAAAATGATGTTGTGAATTCAGAGTGAATGCTTTACAAGTGAATAAAAAGACTTTTATGAAATATTTTTATTACTGTAGTATTATTAGGCATTATTCCTATAAAGGAGTTTTATCTTTCAAATAGACCTTTAGAAGGTTTAGCATTGTCTTGAAGGTTGTTAATTTTAGGACCTCATGATTATTAGAGCCATAAACTTGAAATGAAAACCTCCGTTTGAAATGTCAAAAGAGATTCAGCTGTTCTCTTGAGAGTGTCTTGTATTTTTATATGTGCAGGTGTCTGGCCAAACCCCTCAGTGTCCAAAATGAACGCTACAGTTACATATTTTGAAAGAAGTCACTAACATTAATAGTGGAGGTTAGGATGTGATCAGTGGGTTTACTTTTTTTTTTATAATGCAAGTTACTGTATTTCGTAACTTTTAAAATTGCAGTAGTTTCCTGATAGCTCACAACTAACTTTACAATGCTTGTACATTTTAATACAAAGCTTTCATCACATTCATAAAAGTGTCATTAATTGTAGTTCACTTGGATACAAACGTTTATTCAAGCCAGTAAGTTAAATCCATCTTTAGAAATACACTTTTATTTGGACTAAAATAATACTTCGAATGTGTCAGTGACTGTTAAAAGCTAAGATTTACTCTTGCAGCTGTATTTGCTGTTGTTTTACTGATATTATTTCGTAGAATCATAGAATGGTTGGGGTTGGAAGGGACCATCTAGTTCCCACCACTCTGCCATGGGCAGGGATACCTTCCACTAGACCAGGTTGCTCTAAGCTCTGGCCACCCTGGCCTTGAGCACCTCCAGGGGTAGGGCAGCCAGAAGGATTAATAATTAATCAAATTAATAATATAAAATGATAAATATGATTCTGTTCATGGGTTCCATTTCCTTGACGGGAATTGTCATGTGTTACTACAGACAAGAATAATGAAATGTGGTTCAGACTTTGATTTATCAACTTTGTCAGTTTAAGATGCATTTTCTGATTGTTACAATTGATTTCAGGAGGCACAGTGTAGATGGATTGGTAGATGGAAGCTCCCGCTTTAGGACTTTGGTGCAAAAAATGTTTTGGGATCATTGGTTCATACCTACTGCTAGAGAGATGAGTCTAGGTAAAATACTGTATGATGGATGTGTCTGAATAGTGAAAGAAGTATTCCAGGAAGACAGTAGTTTCCAAAGAGGGAGTTATATGTTGCCAATTCAGGGTAAGTTATTTTTAGAAGGAATGCAGATGCACAGTGGATGTATGCAGATAAATTTACTTGTGCTTTCAGGTAGTGAGAGGTTATTAACATACTACTGTGCTACTGACATTTACAGTCCTAAATTAAAGAAATAAAAGCAGGGGAGGTTTTGTTTTTGTATTTTTCCTGTCAGTCACAGTAGAACAGAGTTGAATTAAGTAGCTTACTAAAGAGGAGAGAAAGTGTTAGGTGATAGAAGCTGCTGAGATTTGCTTTAACTTCAGTATGAGCAAATGAAGAAGTGTACCTTGATGAAGAGCAGTAAGGGCCTCAGGCTCTTAGGACAAAAGGAGATGGCAGCCATTTTAAAGGAGATTTTTTGTGATAATCTGTCTCTTGGAAGGCATTGCAAATCAGCAGATGCAGGCTGGCAGTCAAGCGTGTGAAATTTCAGTAGATACTAATGGTGAGGAAATTGATAGGATTTGTTTTTCCTGTTTGACTATCACTTGAGGTGAAAAGATTACATGGTGCTGACTGTGACATTATCTAAATGTCCATTTCAGAAAATAAAAGTTCTGAATAGGGCAGTGTTGTAGAAATAAGAGAAGTAGGCCAGTGTGCCAGTGAAAACTCAGCTTGGCTTTAATGCTGGCACTTTGACTGCCAATGTGATTCTCTAATTTGAAATGAACAAGCTGGAAAGGAATGTCTGGTAGAACACACCCTGTGTCTTGGTGGTTGTGTTAAGCCAATGTACATGCTGAAGTTAAGGGAAACATTTAAGTATATGTCCGAGAAGCCTGTGTATTTTTATGTCCTTGATGAACATGAAATCACTTCTCAGGTTTAGAGGAACACATTCCTGTAAGGTGAAATCTTCTCTAAGTAACTTGTTGCTGTATTGGCTAAAGCATATGTAGAATTATGTAGGTAATCTGAAGTTCCCTATTAAACAAACAAACAAACAAACCCCCCCCCCAATCAACTGACAACCAAAACACCTGAGCGTAGGTGGCTTTATGTGCTTGGTGACTTTTCCTACAGTGTGCGAGTCTGTCCTGTGGAGCACACTGCAGAATTCTAGTCCTGCTTTGTTTAGCAGTACTCTCAGTATTTACTAAGATGTTATTATCTTAATTACACTTTTAACTCTGAATACTTTTTCTATTTTTGAATAGAAATCTGTTCATACTAGTGTTCTCTTGGAAAATCACTTGAACGAGATTTGATCCAGCTGGTTTTATACCCTAAAATGTGAGCAGTTTTCAGATATTCAGGAAGTACAGGTTTGCATAAATTTCCTAGTTGGCTTATGTACTAAATTGTCATAAGCTTGATACATGTAACTTTTCTAACAATAATTGCTCCCCCTTTTAAAAGGGGTCATTTATACTTAATTCATATTTTCCTGTATCAGAAGTTCCGGAAGTCTTTATGAGTTTAACTAGTTTAGTTTCAGTCAGCATGTAGTAAAGTATTTTCCTTTTCTGTGTCTCATTTGTTGGGAGTTGCCAAAGGACAAGTGATAGGGAATCAGTATTTTAGTTTGTATTTCTTAGTTTTATTTACTGAATTATGTTGCATAGCTACTAGGACTTTCAAAATAATGGCAGTAATAAAACTGCCAATATGACTTTTAAAAGCTTGTTTGCGTTGTCCTAATAAAGAGCTAGAAGCATGGGCAACCTGAAAAAAATTTATTTGCGAGGCAGACAGAAATTTGTCACTGGCAGCAAAGTGTACAAATTGTGGTTAAAAAAAAGAAAAAATAAATTTGTGCTTCTGTAAGTAGGTCCAAATAGAGTGATACAGTCAAATATAAAGTAAAATGGCAAGAAACAGTATGTAAAGCAAAGTGAAAATAATATGTAGC